AAGATCCCGAGAGGAGAATGGAGGAGAAGGGATTGCGGCGTGACCATCCCCCCTGGGGGGTGATTTCTCGCTTTCTGTCTCTATGTCTCTCTGTCTGTCTGGCGAGCGCACGCGCCCTACAGTGAAAATCTCTCAAAAAAAAAAAAAAAAAAGTATTTATTGGCACAAGTTATAAACCTATGGTGCCATAATATTCATCAGCACTAGGGTTAAAAACACATAACAATCCTAATCATATCAAACAGTATTTAAAAACTACAAAAATTTTAAGATATGTTAAAATCAAAATACTGCTACATACACTATGGGGATTAATGTATCATCATTAATAGAAGGGATAACCACGCTGCAATTCCTTCTTCTCCATTTTCCTCCTGGGATTTTAGGCATGCAAGCACATGCAATCTGGCATGAACTGCAACCTGCTAAGTCCAGGACGCAAACCAAGGTTGACCATGTGAGTGTCCACTGTCTTAACCACTACACCACCTGCTGGCCCCTAAGTAAACAATCTTGGGAGAAGAGGTAATATTGGGCTGTCGGAAAAGTCGTGACGCATTTGACTTTTCTGGCAACCTGATATATGCATGTGGTAATAAAAATACAACCTATATAAAAACACCCTACAAAAACAGGTCTATTTCCACAAATGTAACCTCTGTTAATGTAACCCTTTGTTGAAATAAAACATTTCTGTCTTAAATATACACAAATGACAAAGTTCTAGAGCTCTGTTACCTCACTTAACACTGTATCTTAGGGACTCTCCCACTAAGTGAATTAAAATCTGCCTCATTCTGGGCCAGCAGGTGACATGGAGGTAAAGGTGGATAGATCCCACGTGCCCAACTGTGCAATTTGAGTCCCAGACCCAGTGGCTTGAACATCACACCAAGCACATGTGCATGCATGCCTTAAAGCTTGAGAGGAGAATGGAGAAGGGATTGCGGCATGACCATTCTCCCCAGGGGGTAGTTTCTCACATTCCCTCTCCCCCACTGTCTCTGGTGAGTACATGTGCCTTACAGTAATCAATTAATCAATCAACATCAGCCTCATTCTTCTGCAGTTGTACTGTATTCCACTACAAACCTTGCTGCATACTCTCCACTGTGAGTGCTCACAAATATATCTGCGGGAATTAAATTGCTACTGATATGTCAGAGGGCATATGCATGTACTTGGTACTGTACCACCAAAATGCTCTTCAAGGAGCTGTATCAATTTACATTCCTATCAGGTTATGATGGTGCAGGTTCCCCCTCATTCTCACCCCTCCCATATAGTTCCACATTTATCTTTGCCAATCTAGTAAGTGAAAATTTGTTATCTTGTTTCTTTTCTGTTTAATTATGAGTTAGGCATCTTTCAATATACTTAGAAGTAAATACATTTATAAGTAATTTAATTTCTTTTTCTAGACTAATTTTTACTGTTTCATGCCTATTTTTCTCTTAAGTTACTGGTTTTTTTTTTTTTCTTGGCTTGCTTGATATATTAAGAAAATCTGGGACTAGCAGATGACATAGTAGTTAAGGTGCTGGACTCCCACATGGCTAAATGTGTTTCAGGTCTCTGAACGCAGTGGCTTGAGACTCATGGTGGGCGTGTGTGTGTGTGTGTGTGTGTGTGTGCCCAATATCCCAAAAGGAGAATGAAGGAGAAACTGGAGCACGGCCATCTACCTTCAGAGGTGATTTCTTGCTCTCTCTCTGCCTGTCTAGAGTATACATGGATCCTATAACAAAAATCTCTCAGAGAGAAAGAAAAGAAAGAAAGAAAGTAAGCAAGCCAGACAACCTTTACTCATACTCATCATCCTTTGTCTTTAAAAAAAAAAAAATTCCCTTGGGGCCGGCAAGGGGCATGGTAATTAAGGCTCTAGCCTCCCACTTTCTCACTTTCCCTCTCTTGTTCTGTCTCTCTGGTCAAATTAAAAAATAATGATAAATAAAATTAATTTTTTTAAACTTGTCTTCTTTTTTTAAAAAGCCCCTTATGTTTTCTTTGCTTTACTTAATTTATAGGCTCTCTTCTCTCCCCAATGTAGAAATCTATGATTTTTACATATTCAAATTTATAATTTTTTTTAGATGTTTTTGCCATAGGGCACATGCACTAGCCAGAGGAAGAGACAGAGACAGGGACAGTAAGCAGGAAAGTGAGAAATCACCTCCTGCAGGGATGGCCACATTGCAATCCCTTCTCTTCCATTTTCCCCCGGTATCTTGAGCATGCAGGCACATATGCTAGGAATGATTTTCAAGCCACCGGGTCCAGGACTTGAACCATGGTGAACCATGTGAAAGTCCAACGACATAACATTATGTCATCTGCTGGCCCCCAAACTTATAATTTTTTTTTCTTTTTTTGGAGAGTTTTTTGCTATAGGGCGTGTGCGCTCGCCAGACAGACTCGAGAGAGACATAGAGACAGAAAGCGAGAAATCACCCCCCAGGGGGGATGGCCACGCTGCAATCCCTTCTCCTCCATTCTCCTCTCGGGATCTTGGGCACGCACGCACACGCGCCTGGCGTGAGTTTTAAGTCACCGGGTCCGGGACGCGAACCGCGGTCGACGACGTGGGAGTCCAGCGACATAGCCATTACGCTAACTGCTGGTTCCCTAATTTTTTTTTACTCTTATAACTCCTGTCCTGGTTAGAAGGTCTTAACCCTACTCCAGAATTAGAAAAAGAAAAAAAAAAGGTTATACTGATTCTGAACTTCAGTTTCTCCCAAGTCTTAGGTGTACAGTTTTTGGCTCAGCCAGAATTTATTTTAGTGAAGAGGCAGCGATATTAACTTTTTGTTCCATATATTAAACGATCAATATTTTCTCTACTGACTCAAGTGCTTATTTGATTATATGTTAATGCCTATAGAAGGGCAGATCTATTTCTGGAGTCTGTTCTGTTCCACTGACTTATCAGATCAGCTATAAGTCAGAACGAAACTATTAATTACAACTGCCTTACATTTTAATGTCTCACAGTATCAGAATGTACAGAGATAATTCCATTTTCTTCTTCCAAAATTAGATATGTCTTACTTCTCTTGACCATTTATATTGACTAGATTATTTCAGAATGCTAAGAAAAAAGGGACCCATCCTTATCCTTGTTTTGTTTCTAACTCCAATAGGAATACACAATATTTTTTTTGAGAGGTTTTTTTTTTATTTTGAACTATAGGGCATGTGCGTTTGCCAGACAGAGACAGACAGAGAGATAGAAAGCGAGAAATCACCCCGCAGAGGGGATGGCCACGCTGTAATCCCTTCTCCTCCATTCACCTCTCAGGATCTTGGGCACGCACGCACATGTGCCTGGCGTGGGTTTTAAGCCACCGGGTCCAGGACGCGAACCGCAGTCAACTACGTGGGAGTCCAGCGACATAGCCATTACACTAACTGCTGGTTCCCTCCACAATATTTTTGTAAAGAATGTTACCGTACTTGGGCCAGCAGGTGGCATGGTGGTTAGGGCGCTAGACACTCCCACATAGCTAACCATAGTTCAAATTTTGAACCCAGTGGCTTGCTTTCTCACTTTCCTTCTCTCTATGTGCCTGTCTTTCCCTGGTCAAATGAAAAGTAAATAAAAAAAGGTTAAATAAAAAATTTTTAAAAAAAAAAAAAAAAAAAAGAATGTTACCCTACTTAACACATGTTCAATTCAAAATGAAAAAATGAGGGAGCTATCAGTATTTAAAAATGACTCTGTTGGGACCAGCAGTTGGCATCATGGTTATGTCACTGGATTCCCATGAGGTCTACCGCGGTTTGAGTTCCGGACCGATGGCTTAAACTCTCGATGGGCACATGTGCGTGCGTGCCCAAGATCCCAAGAGGAGAATGGAGGAAAAGGGATTATGGCGTAGCCATCCTCCCTGGGGGGTGATTTGTTGCTTTCTGTCACTCTGTCTCTTTCTTTCTGGAGAGCACACGTGCCTTATAGCCAAAAGAAAAAAAAATACTGTTAATTTAGCTCATCCAGTAAAACCAAGATGAGGACCAGTCTCATGGCCTGGTGGTTAAGGGAGCTGGATCCCACGTGGCTAACTACATTTCAAATCCCAGCCCCTGTGGCTTGAAAAACATCCCAAGTATATGTGTGTGCCCCAAATCCCAACAGGAAGAAGAAACAGAGGAGAACGGACTGCAGTGTGACCATGTCCCACTGAAAGGTGCTTTATCCCTCTCTATCTCTCTCTTTGTCTCTCTATGGCGTGTGCCTCTAGCAAACTGAAAAAGAAAAAAAAAAATAGATGAAGTGGTATTATTCACAATGCTGAAAACAGTACTAAGCTTACTAAATCAACCTGCTGTCATAATAATGCAATGACCCCACTCTGGAAGTTCCCTGCTCAAATGCTGGCTTAATTCAATGAACTTGGATTCTGTCAAAATAGGGAATGCCTAAGGATAATTTAAAGTTTCTTAATTAAGAGGAATTCTATCTTAAATACTGTCAAAAGTATTTGGGTTCTATCACTTGACCAAGAATTTAGATTGCCTCATCCTTATGACATAGTTCTATTTCCTGTGGTTGTTTTAATCAAAGGATGGCCGCGAGACACTCACGTAATTGCACCACAGCGCTTTCTCCGTTCGTTGCGATGTAGTGCAGCGTCTGTTCCCCGTAGTAAGAAGCTCCTGTCTTGTCAACATCTGTACTAGCTATTACCAACACAGCAGTAGCTATAACAGTAAAAACTTTAATTAGATTTAAAACACGAATTAAGTAAGCATTCATACATTCTTCTTAGTACACAGGTTTGGTAAGTCTAATTTAAAATACTTGATAAAGAAAGCGGAATAACATATTTATCATACCTTTTTTATTCCACAGCATTGTAACCTTATCAGCCTTAAAAAAGCTTTTGTTGGCTAAAGCGGCATGAGGCCCACCAAAGTTGGGGTACTGATACAACCTCACGAATGAAGGTGCACCTTTACTTCCGGGAACATAGACAGCCACCTAAGATACAGACATAAATCGTTTCATTTATTGAAGCATATAAACGAAGATGCTCGTGTTTTTACAGTCATACAAACTAGCAAAAGGTTTAAACATAATATTCCACAGAAACAAACCAATGCAGAAAATTACCTTGTATGGTTGGGATCCAGGTGATAATACAAAATCATTAATTTTTTGCAAATGCAATTTATTTGCAACTGTATCTAAAAAAAGAGTATATGGTGTTAGACTGATGAGAGAAGCCAACAGAAACTTGCTAAACTCTTGAATGCATTATAAAAGGCTACTGTAAATACATGCTGATATTTCTCATTATAGTCTCATGTGGGAGAGGCGAACAACACACACACACAAACACAGGATGGGAGACTTGACTGGTTTTTTTAATGACAGAAGGCACAAGTGTGTGTGCAAGAAAACAGCACCCTTAAGTAAGAGTCTTGCCAAGCAGCAATGCCCTTCCCAGCCCTCTAGCTCTTTAGGATCCTGGGCACCGATGCAAGTGCCCAACATGTTTTTGGGTCAATGGGAGATACAAACCCCACTTAGCCATCTTGCTTCCAGTCCTGCAGGGCACATGCATTACTGCCACACCCCAGTGATTTGGCCTCCCAGTGCTTAATTTTAAGAGCACGTGCCAGGCATATGGTAAGTAGTCAATAAATGTCAGTCATCTTCTGTTAACCTCTGAAATAAAGTCCTTTTTAAAAATAGAATATTTTCACTTGTATCCACTGAAACAAGCACACTATTTTCTCTCTTATTTTCCAGCTTGCTATAGTGTATGTGTGCACTCTAGGAGAGACAGACAGACAGGGAGGGAGAGAGAGGGAAAGTGAGAAATCATCCCCCAAGGGAGACAGCTACACCATAACCCCCTCTCCTCCAGTCTCAAGATTCTGGGCAAACATGCACAGGTGTCCAGTGTGATTCTCAAGCCATAGGGTCTGGGACTCTTACCTGCCCCACTGACCCTGTGGAATCCAGTTGCCCTAACCTCCACACCACCTGCTGGCCCGAAATAAAGTAGTCGTCAAGCTCATTAGATGAGAGAGGTCAGCCTTGGCCTGGCGTGGGTATGAAATTTCTGTGACACTGCTAAACACACGATACTGATTATCACAACAGCAGTGATGGCTGATATTTATTGCGTGCTTGCTTTACTCCAGGCAGGCAGAACTCACGCTACTAACGATACTACTAGCCTAGTTAATAGAATCAAGAGCTGCTGTTAGTCTTTCTTCGCTCAATGTCAGAAATCAGTAAGTGTTTAAAGGCTGCACACCACACTGCCAAACTGGTGATTCCTTTTCCTTTGGCATGCTCACAAGGAGATAAGAAAACAAGAAACCCAAAATCAATGACGTAGGAGCAAGTCTCAAAAGCAAGAAAATGAAGTACATGGCTATAGTGACAGGCTACTACTCAGAATCTGCCTTCACATTACCTTTGGTACATGTGAACAGAGTCACTAATCCTTATTCTAATATACTCAAAAGTACACAATGGAATATCCTAAAGACAAAACAACCTATAAACTTTTTTCTTCGTTTTCAGGGGCTAGAAGGTAGCAGAGTGGTAACATCCCACCCCGCAATGCTGGACCCGTATGGGAAGGTCTCAGGTTTGTTTTCTGAGGCCTCCCCATGCATGTGAGGGGTACACACACACCTAAGATCTAGAATGGCTGGGGCTATGAGCGGACCAGGGCATGAACACCCTACTGGGAAGCCTATCTCTCTCTCTATATATATATATTACTCTCTCATGGAAAAAATAAACGTTTTTCAGTAATATGTTACTAGTGTTATTGTTGATACAGGAGCCCCCTCCTTGTCCACGGGGGATCATTCCAAGACCCCCAGTGACAGCCTGAAACTGCAGACAATACCAAACCCTGTTTTATGTTTTTCCCTATACATACATACTTACTATTGGGTTGTTTGCATAGAAAAACAGAAAAAGCACGTCATGACTTTTCTGACAACCCAATGAAATAGAACAACCATAACAATACCCTGAAAAAGTTATGTGAATGTGGCCTTTCACTCTCTCAAGATATCTCAATATTATTGGACCACAATAGACCAGGTAAATGAAACCAGGAAAAGTGAAACAGTGGCTAAGGGGGACTACTGTGTTGCTATTCGAAGAATTATTATATGGATAATGCAGGACACAGCACATGAATACTCATGTGACAGGCTCAAACTATCACCCCCTGGTATCCCAGGGAAACAGAAGTCTTGGCATTGACAGAAGCAATACAGATATGTAGAAGAGGTAAAATAAAAACTTTATAGTCTTTCATCTCAATCAAACTATCAGTATGAACTCATCATTAGTATACCTTAAAGAAAAAGGCCTAGAGGGACCAGCATATAGCATAATGGTTATGTTGCTGGACTCTCATGTAGTCCATTGCAGTTCAAGTCCTGGACCTGGCAGCTTTAAACTCACTTTGGGTGTGGTGTGTGTGCGTGCGTACCCAAAATCGCAAGAGGAGAATGGAGGGAGGAGAAGTGACTGCGGCATGGCCATCATCCCTCCTGGCGGGGGTGGTGGTGGTGACTGCTCACTTTCTGGCTCTCTGGCAAGCATACATGCCCTTATAGCAAAAATGTCTCTTAAAAAGGCCTAGAGGGACCAGCAGGTGGCATGGTGGTTAAGGTGCTGGACATTACCCCATGGCTTACCACACTTTAAGTCCTGGACCTGGTGGCTTGCTTTCTCACTTTCCCCTTCTCTCTCTGTCTCTCTCTGGTCAAATTAAAGTAAATGAATGAAAAAGCCCAGATCGTGGTTTTTAAACAACATTTTCCATTAAAAGAAACCAGTGTTTCTTAAAGAACTGGCTAATTCTAGAGGCTTGGAAGGAAATACACAAAAATAATCCTAGAACAGCTTCTTTTATCATACAGCAAAGAAGTCATTAAAGAATAATCAGCCAAAATAAGAGTTCAAAAACAACTAAAAAAATGGCCAACTTAATGGTAGGGACAAGTCTGGAGTTGAATGTTATCTTCCAGAATTTAAATGGAAAGATCAGACCACAACAAAAGATAGATTAAGCGTATGAGACTGAACTGGTAAAATAGGATTTTATGACTTTTGACTAAAACATTACTGATTTTCTTCTATACTTTGTTTGACAGATTTAAGGATTTTCATCTTCTCGAGCTGTTGATAGGTTCATGCACCTACTATTTGAACATAATCCTAACCTGTTTCCTGGTTTTAAGTCTAAAGCAAAGTTCTCTTAACATTTTTTGATTTTTATTTATTAAAGCTAAAACTGCCTTTCCTGAAAACACATTTAAAAATACCTATTTAATGACCACAGTAAGCTATATAGCCTCATCTAGGTGCTACTGTATAGTATACTCATTCTACTCACAGTTTCATGACTAAAGTCAGACATGTGATCACAGATATGTATATATCAGCTGAACTTGCTACTGAAAGGAGTTTGATTAATTAAGATATTTTGTGAATCATAAAATGGGGGGGAGGAATGGAAAGCAACTGTAGATGCCAGAGACAGTGTGAAAGGAGGATGGGAAATAGGGAAAAAATAAATTTTTATATATACAAAACAAGAAATGGAAAATTATAATTATTTGTTGACAATAACATGTATGATTAAGCCACTATACAGTGTATTCTGGATGGAAAATCGCATTTTGTATGCTATGATGATGTTCAGTGAATGAATGTAAAATAAATTAATTTAAAATAAAAAGAAAAAGAAGAATCAGCCAATGATGCAATTTGAGCATCAGCAAGAATGGTAACTACAATGAATTGAAACACATATACTTTATATCCATGTTTCATTTAGGATGGGGGAAAAATCTAATTGGTTATAATACAGGGTTCTAAACATGCATTATATATAAAACAATAGGGGAAGGAATACTTATTCTGCCTTTTCTATATAAATGAACCACTAAGTAACCTAACAGTGGATAGGGGAATTTTTCTTCATAGAAGTAGTAGAACTTATGAATAAAGTGGGAGAAAAATTAGAATATCACCAATTTGCAACACACGTGCAATAATGTATCTAGGTATTAAACATAAATATCAGCTAACTCTACACAATGAAAGAAAACCACATATAAGTGCTTGATACACAAACCAAACAATCTTCCTAATACAGTATTTCCCTCACCTGCCAGAAAATGAATAATCTGAAGCCAAACACCTACCAATATAAGGGACAGCTGAACACGTTAAAATATACCATGGATTGAATGTCAAAGCAAAATTCAAACTAAGGCAAGACAAATAATCTTATTTCTTAAATAAGTTATTAACAGAAGAGAAAAAGAGATGGAATAGAACCTATAGATTAAAAACAAAATGTAGGGCCAGCAGATGGTGTAGTGGTTACATCACTGAAGTCCCACATTGCCAACCGCAGTTCGAGTCCTGGGCCTGGGAGCTTGACAATCATACAGAGCACACGTGCATGTGTCCCTAAGACCCTGGGAGGAGAAGGGATTACAGCGTGGCCATCCCCCCACTCTAGGGGGTGGTGATTTCTTACATTCCCTCTCACTGTCTCTGTCTCTCTCTCTGGTGAGCACATATGCCCTAAGGTAAAAAGCTCTTAAAATTAAAAAAATAATAATAAAGTAAAAGTTATTCCAATCAATTGCAATGTGCAGTATCTTATTTGGATTCTGGGGGTTTATTTTATTTTTCTTAATTTGCCAGTGTGTGTGTCTGCTCACCCCAGAGAGTGACACAGAGAAAGGGAGAGGGAGAAAGCGCCCCACAGTAGGGTCACATTCCAATTTCTTCTCCATTTCTCCTTTTGGCATTTTGGGCATGTATACATACATGTCTGGCACATTTTTCAAGCCACCAGGTCAGAGATTCAAACTATACAGTTGGCTATATGGGATCCAGCTTCCCCAACCACTAAACTATGGGGTCAGCCATGGATCTCGAGTTTTAAAAAAAAGTAGAGAATTTGCAAAGAGAATTTCATTAGAAGTTTGAACACTGGAACCAGCAGTTAGCGTAATGGCTCTGTCACTGACTCCCACGTAGTTGACTGCAGTTTGAGTCCCAGACCCGGTGGCTTAAACTCACGGTGGGCGCGTGTCCGTGCGTGCCCAAGATCCCAAGAGGAGAATGGAGGAGAAGGGATTGCGGCGTGGCCATCCCCCCTGGGGGTGATTTCCTGCTTTCTGTCTCTCTGTCTCTGTCTGTCTGTCTGGTGAACGCACGCCTCCTATAGCAAAAACATCTCCAAAAAAAAAAAAAAAAAAAAGAAAGAAATTTGAACACTGATCAGGTATTTCATGATCTGTGCTAATAGTGAAATAGTGATAATCGTGGCTAAGTTTAAAAAATTAAGGGTGCTGAACTTCAGTGAAATATACTAAAATATTTACTGGTAGTTACATGACGTGTAGCATTGTGGTAGCTTAGTAAGAAAGATGTAAGTTGATAGATGTGTGGATGAGATAGGATTGCCCATCAGCTGATAGTTACAGGGATACGATTTCTATTTTGTGTTTGACATTCTACACAATAAAACATTTAAAAGATTTGTGTGACAGAATTTCAGTAGTAATTAAACTCAGGAATAGGTATACAAATGTCTTAACCTAACAACCAATTACTAAATAACAGCAAAAATTTCTTAAGGAAAAAAAATGTCATTTGAAAAGAAAAGCTTTGTTGGGGCCAGCAGATAGCACTGTAGTTACGTCACTGGACTTCCACATGGTCAGCCATGGTTGAGTCCTGGACCCAGTGGCTTGAAAATCAGGCACAGCACGTGTCCATGTATGCCCCAAATCCCGAGACGAGAAGAGACTGCAGTGTGGCTACCCCAACCAGGAAGTGGCAGTGGTGTGTGATTTCTCACTTTCCCTCTTACTGTCTCTGTCTCTCTCCCTCTCCCTGGGGAGCACACACAACCTGAGGCAAAAATCTCTTAAAATAAAAAAAAAGCTGTATATTACACAACTTCATTGGCGCTTAAGCTTATAAAGTTATGTAAATTAATATAACTACAATTATTTATTAATACATCAACAGTATTCAATAGAACTCTGTGATACCATAAGGTAATGAAAACTGTATATTCATAGTAAAAAAAAAATTCATAATTTTCATACTAAAATTGTTGTTTTCAAAGAAGTGAATTTCATTGTTAACATTTCGAGCACAAATAGTTTCATCTTCTGACCAGGATGGACACCTATGTCAAAAAGAGAGAATACAAAATAATTTAGACAATATGTAACATCATGTTAGCATGCTAAAGCTTATCATACTGTTTACTATTTAAGAAAAATCCTTATAAATATGATATCTAGTCAGTTACTAATAGTTTTAATCAATGCGTTCAATAGAAATACAGTTCATTTTATTTAAATACTAAACAAAAAAGTCAAATTTTACTTACATTCCTACCAGTGAAATCCTTAAATATCTATAGATTTTGGTCTGATAAGTTATTTTAAAAATCAGTATCAGAGAAATGAATATTAAACAATAATGATATTTAAAATAATGTATAGACAATTAGTACTTGAAAGCATGTATTTACCAATTTTGCATTTTTTTCTGGATAAAAGATTTTAAACATGTCCCAGTTTTCATATCAAAAAGTTGTAGGTTCGGTATCCCTGCTGTGCCATCTTTAGCAGCTGCAATAAGAAAATAAATTTTTGTAATAATTATCTCCTAACATTTGTGAAAAGATCTGCTTCTAAGAAAAAAATTGAACAATTTTGATTATAAAAATCCAGTAAAAGGGTTTCCTTAAATCAACTTCCCTCTCTAGCCTAGGAGTTAATCATCCAATCATCCATTCCTAACAATATAATGATACAACAGCTACTTGAGCTAAAGCCCAGAATCTCTGAAATGAATTACTCCAGATTTTAAATATACTTAAGAGACTTCTTTTTATTCATTAAGTTTTACATGCATTGTCAAATGGATCAAATCATGAAAGCTTGTGTCTGTTATATCATCAAAAAACATAAAACTATTCATGATTGTTAATTAATTCTCAATTTTCCTTTCATTTGCTTAGAAAAAATAAGATTCATTAGAGTCCATGTCTCTTGAAAGAACAAAACCCAGGAATCTTATAACCCAACAATTAACTATTAACATTGATTTATTCAATAATATTAACATTATTAGAAAATGCTTCTTAAAATAAGCTCCTATTGGGGCTGGCAGGTGGTGTGGTGGTTAAGGCTGCTGGACTCCCACATGGCCAACCACGGTTCAAGTCCTGGACCTGGTGGCTTGCTTTCTCTCTCTCTCTCTCTTTCTGTCCCTCTGTAGTCAAGTTAAAATAAATAAATAAATAAATAAATAAATAAAGATAAATAATTCTTAAAAAAAAAAAAGCTATTACCAGTTTCTAATATTTTAGTATTCTTCCATGAAGTACAGCTATACAAAGTGTTGATTATACATTATCATTAGATATCCTTAAATATACCAGCAAATAGCACACCATTTCCTACTCTTCATCATACCATACACATCTCTTAAATGTGTCTGTTGTACTTTCTTTCACTGATAATGATTATTTAAAATGTTTTTACATCAGGGCCAGCAGGTAGCAAAGTGGTTAAGGTGCTGGACTCCTACATGGCCAATCACAGCTTGAGCCTTGGACCTGGCAACCTGAAAATCATGCCACATACATGCGTGCCCCAAAGTCCCAGAAGAATGAACAAGAAGGGATTCTGGCATGGCCATCCCCATTGGGGGAGTGATTTCTCACTTTCTCTCTGTCTTTCTCTGTCTCTCGCTGGCAAGTGCACATGCCCTATGGCAAGAACCTAAAACTGAAACAAAATAAAAACGTTTTGATATTAAAAGTCATTATTATTCTTAATCTTCGGAGAGCTTCTCTGTCCAACAGTTATTTACTTTCTAAATTTTCCTTGCTTTTCCTCTATCTCATAACAAATTTTTTTTTTTACTAACTATAAAATCTTGAAATTACTTTCAGTACATTGGAGAGTACAAGATTCACCATTGATAATAAATATTTATGAACACTATGTACTCTTATAAAGACTAACTGATTTCTTCTAAGGCTATAAACCTCCTAAATTTAATTGGTCTTGTCAGAGTATTTTTATGATGGGAAAATACTTACTAGTGTAAGGTTGCCACGCTGCCAGGATGGTGTTTTTTGGCGAGAATTCAAGGCAAACTGCCTTTGGGAGGTCGAAGGAGTGCAGTAGTCTCTTGTTAGTGACATTGATAATATTTACTCTGGTTTCAAAAGAAATTATTTCAGCAATATAATAACCAGCACCAACCAAAACAATCATACCTCCTCTCAAACACAGATTCCTCCAAAGTCTTTATTTTTCATAAAGAGCAATTTTAAGTTACTTCTAAAAATAGCCAGGAAACACTTTAACTTAAAAAAAGAAAAAAAGTGCGTTTCACTAAAAGGCCCCTATACAGTGCTAGTGTGGGGAAATAATATAGAATTAGCAGAAAGAGGCATGGGTGATCTACTTTCAGCTGAAGGGAAGCAAGCAAGCACTTTAAGTGAACACAAAGAAGCTAAGACCAAACTGTGGTGGTGAAGGCTGCTGGACTCCCACATGGCCAACCACGGTTCAAGTCCTGGACCTGGTGGCTTGCTTTCTCTCTCTCTCTCTCTTTCTGTCCCTCTGTAGTCAAGTTAAAATAAATAAATAAATAAATAAATAAATAAAGATAAATAATTCTTAAAAAAAAAAAAGCTATTACCAGTTTCTAATATTTTAGTATTCTTCCATGAAGTACAGCTATACAAAGTGTTGATTATACATTATCATTAGATATCCTTAAATATACCAGCAAATAGCACACCATTTCCTACTCTTCATCATACCATACACATCTCTTAAATGTGTCTGTTGTACTTTCTTTCACTGATAATGATTATTTAAAATGTTTTTACATCAGGGCCAGCAGGTAGCAAAGTGGTTAAGGTGCTGGACTCCTACATGGCCAATCACAGCTTGAGCCTTGGACCTGGCAACCTGAAAATCATGCCACATACATGCGTGCCCCAAAGTCCCAGAAGAATGAACAAGAAGGGATTCTGGCATGGCCATCCCCATTGGGGGAGTGATTTCTCACTTTCTCTCTGTCTTTCTCTGTCTCTCGCTGGCAAGTGCACATGCCCTATGGCAAGAACCTAAAACTGAAACAAAATAAAAACGTTTTGATATTAAAAGTCATTATTATTCTTAATCTTCGGAGAGCTTCTCTGTCCAACAGTTATTTACTTTCTAAATTTTCCTTGCTTTTCCTCTATCTCATAACAAATTTTTTTTTTTACTAACTATAAAATCTTGAAATTACTTTCAGTACATTGGAGAGTACAAGATTCACCATTGATAATAAATATTTATGAACACTATGTACTCTTATAAAGACTAACTGATTTCTTCTAAGGCTATAAACCTCCTAAATTTAATTGGTCTTGTCAGAGTATTTTTATGATGGGAAAATACTTACTAGTGTAAGGTTGCCACGCTGCCAGGATGGTGTTTTTTGGCGAGAATTCAAGGCAAACTGCCTTTGGGAGGTCGAAGGAGTGCAGTAGTCTCTTGTTAGTGACATTGATAATATTTACTCTGGTTTCAAAAGAAATTATTTCAGCAATATAATAACCAGCACCAACCAAAACAATCATACCTCCTCTCAAACACAGATTCCTCCAAAGTCTTTATTTTTCATAAAGAGCAATTTTAAGTTACTTCTAAAAATAGCCAGGAAACACTTTAACTTAAAAAAAGAAAAAAAGTGCGTTTCACTAAAAGGCCCCTATACAGTGCTAGTGTGGGGAAATAATATAGAATTAGCAGAAAGAGGCATGGGTGATCTACTTTCAGCTGAAGGGAAGCAAGCAAGCACTTTAAGTGAACACAAAGAAGCTAAGACCAAACTAAACAGAGAGAAGAGGTGCTGGAGAGAAAGGCAGAAGTGTCTGTTTTAATTTGAATAAATGAAAGCTACAGCAGCTAGGAAAATCAGTGAGGAGGCTTTAGATGTCTGTCACCATCTCAGAGGCAGTCTCCAAAAAACATAACTCCAAGATTTATTGTAAAAGAAGGTAAAAAATGAGAACACTGCACAATAAAAGCAGTTCCATTTATTGATGCTTCCTGTGTACCATGCAATGGCCTAACCACTTTACGTACTTTTTCTCATATAACCCTCACAACAGTCTAAAGTGTAATCACCCCTATTTTACAAGTGCTTAAATTTAGCCTTAAAAAATAATCAATCATTTGATGATGTGCCCAAGGTCATACTACTGATAAATGCCAGAGCCAAGCTTTGAAATCGGTCTGACTTATTTTTATGTTCTACACTAAACTCTTTAAGGTAAAAACAAACAAAAAAATAATGTCATCTTACTCCAGAAATTGTTCAAAGTAATTTTGTTCTGTTCAGGTTTGAGGAAGGCACTGGGGTTAGGATAAGCAGCTATCAGTAAGAAAGAGCATCACATGCTGTTTAAACACACATACATACTGTCACTAGATTCTTTACAACTTACTAGAAACAACACATTTTAGAATTATGTAAGGCTTTTCTGCTTCTTTGTTGTTGTTAATTTTTAATTGTCACATTTAGTTTAAGGAAGGGTTCTTACTGTAACTAAAAAACATATTCAAGGAAAGATCAGTTACAGTTTCTTAGTTAAACACAAACAACAAAACACAATCAATACCCTACATTTGCTTCTCTGCCCTAGACTCATACATACCACGTAGCCAGAGTACTTTAAGGAAATAAATGCTAGAACCTGGCGTTGAAAACTATTAAAATGATGGATATACATATGGCAGCATATTAAGATTTAGAGTTAATCCAATAGAAGACTAAGTAGGTGTATGAATGAAGTACATAAAATCATTAACAATAATTGCCGAGATGAAAGTACACTTACTCAACAAACTCTTAGCTTGTAGAATAAGGAATACCTCAAATAAAAGTAGACAATGAAAAGAAATACAGCATATTCCATTAGGTAGTAAATATCTACAGACTCATTACTCAAATAATATAAACTAAAATGTGGATTAAAAAATGTTTTAAATACCAAAAATAGGTTACATCAAAAGAGTTGAGAATACCTCCTATCTTTGAAGCTAAGATTCAGACTGCCTAGTAACACTGTAGAAAGACCTGATATATTATACTGACTAATCTTTTAAGTTATAAAAGCTAATTCTGCCAGCTACATACAGTCACAAAATGTACATCAACTAATTCTTATAAGTAATTAATTTTTTTAAATTGTGTTTAATCTGATCTGACTTGATAGTTCAAAGACTTAAGAATATATTACTACTATAAAAAAATTTTAATATACTTTTTAAACTAATGCAAATATTTTTCCCCTTTTAGAAAATCTAACTATGGGACCAGCAGTTGGCGTAATGGCTATGTCGCTGGACTCCCATGTAGTCAACAGTGGTTTGAGTCCCAGATCTGGTGGCTTAAACTCATGCCGAGCACGTGTGCGTGCGTGCCCAGACCCCGAGAGAGGAGAATGGAGGAGAAGAGATTGCAGCATTGCCATCCCCCCCGAAGGGTGATTTCTCACTTTTCTGTCTCTCTTTCTCTCTCTGTCTTTCTGGCAAGCACACACGCCCTATAGCAAAAACCTCTCCAAAAAAAGAAAAAAGAAAAAAGAAAGAAAGAAAACCTAACCATATTTTAAATAGTTAAAAACAACAAAAATAACTTTAAACCAAGCAAATTATTTAGGTATTTTTCTAGTCTATGAAATGAAATATAATGACTTGCAGAAAATTAAAAAGGAGAGAAGTGGGACCAGCAAATGGCATAGCAGTTAGGTCACTGGACTCCCACTAGCTGACCGTGGTTCAAGTCCCAGACCCAGCAGCTTAAAACTCAGCAGGCATATGTGTGTGCATACCCAAAATCCCAAGAGGAAAATGGAGAAGGGACTGTGGCATGCCCATCCCCCCCCAGGGGATGATTTCTCATTTTCTGTCTCTCTCTGTGAGCGCACACACCATATAGCAAAAATCTCCTTAAAAAAAAAAAAGAGAGAGGGATTTCCTAGGTAAATTATAAGTATTTAATAAAAATAATAAACTTTTTAAGACCAATTTTTAATTCCAAATTTTAGGTAATATATTAATAGATTATACTAAACATTCTCTTGAGCAAATTACATACTTTTATATGCAATATAAATAGTAATAACTGTAGTCACTTGTCATTGATTTAACAGCAATGATTAACAATAGTCTAAATCTTAAACAAGTGAAGAGAACTATTTTCTAAGTGTCAATGCAGAAATGAAGAAAGCCTAGCCAATAATTTAAGAGGACTACTAAAAACAACCTCTTCAGCTTCTTTAGTATTAATCATGTTTTTCACATGTTAATTTTATATTCTAAGAAACTAGATAAACAAGTCATGGCATACATATATAGGCACTAACAACTCTGAAGGTATTCTATGGAAGTTATGTTGGACAGTATCTTACCACATTGTAACACTAAAAGACGAACTTTATTAATGACATCCAAATACATGTTACTCAAATAATGCCAATCATGTTCATGCTCAAGACACATAAAATACAATGATATATAAATGAATACTAACTTTTCTCCGTTGCCCCAGGCAAACAAGGTCCCATCCTTACTAAAGGTATAGACTTTGCAATTTTTCCCAGATTCCCTGAAAATGACAAAAAAAAGTTTAAATTAATAAACATTAATACTACTCAAAAAATCAATTAGTCTACAATTCCACTACTAATTTAATGACTAAGAACTTAGACAAATTTCAGAAAATAATTCCAAAGGGGCTGGCAGGTGGTGTGGTGGTTAAGGCACTGGACTTTCACATGGCTGGCCACAGTTTAAGTCCCAGACCTGGCAGCTTGCTTTCTCACTGTCTTTCTCTTTCTCTCTGTTTCTGTTTGGTCAAATTAAAAAGTAATAATAGTAGGGGCCAGCAGGTGGCATGGTGGTTAAGGTTCTATACCCTCCCACATGGCTGACCATGGTTCAAGTCCTGAACCTGGTGGCTGGCTTTCTCACTTTCCCTCCCTCTCTCTCTGTCTCTCTCTGGTCAAATATAAAAAAATAAATGGAAGAATAAATAAGATTAAGAAAATAATCATTTTTAAAAAAAGTAAGTAAGTAAGTAGGGGACCAGCAGTTGGAGTAATGACTTTGTCACTGGACTCCCATGTAGCCGACCATGGTTCGAGTCCCGGACCCGGTGGCTTAAACTCACACAGGGCGTATGTGCGTGCATGCCCAAGATCCCGAGAAAAGAATGGAGGAGAAAGGATTGCAGCATGGTCACCCCCCTTCCTCCAGGGGTGACTTCTTACTTTCTGTCTCTCTCTGTCTTTCTGGCGAGCACACGCGCCCTACAGCAAAAAAAAAAAAAAAAAACCCTCAAAAAAAAAAAAAAAGTAAATAAGCTCAATCAAGTATTCTCTTTTTTTAGAAGTTTTTGCTGTAGGACGTGTGTGCTCGCCAGAAAGACAGAGAGGGACAGAGACAGAAAGCGAGACACCACATCCTCCAGGGGGATGGCCATGCCACAATCCCTTCTCCTCCATTCTCCTCTCGGGATCTTGGGCACGCATGCATAAGCGCCCGGCATGAGTTTAAGCCACCAAGTTTGGGACTCAAACTGCGGTCTACTACATGGGAGTCCAGCGACATAGCCATTACGCTAACTGCTGGTCCCAATAAAGTAATTATTTTTAAAAAAAGAACTTCAAAAATGTTTCTGTCAGTCAAAATATCTCTTAAAATGCAATGTCAATGACCACTGCCAAGTAAGCTGAGAATTGATTTTATACCAACAGATCAATCTTAAGAGAGAAACAGAGCCCTTTTGGGTAAATAATTAGTTTGTTTGGAAACAGGAAACAACTGTATGTGAAAGATACCAGCTGTCAGCTATGAGCTTAAGATTAAAATATTTCTACAGAGACTTTAGAGAATTCCCTAGACCTACCTGCAATAACAAAACAATAGTGAATAAAATACTTGCAACAGGCCAATAAATGCCCCAGGATTTGAAGGACAATGACCATCCATCAATTTTTCATATAGAAAGTATAACAATAAGAGGGTCTTCACATCAAATAAACATCGTTGCAAGGTTCTACAGAAAAACAGATCTGTGGAAATGAGACTTCTTAGCAATATCTATGAAGTGATCAAAACTCTTAAGTCCTGTATCTCTCAGCTGGAGATGGCGACTGTGAATATATCTCCTAGTGATAATGAAAGCCCAAGCAGAAACACATACCGCAGTCACAGCATTAGACGAGAAGGTGGCTTATAAGTCATCTAAACTGCTAAATTACAATAAATATACCGAGAACTGTCCAATACATCCCAGTTAAACGGGACACTGTCTTTCACTAATTCACCTTACAATGATATCCGTACTACATTCAGAACAACTTATACTTAGTCTGTAATTAAGGAAACATCTCTCTTTCACTCACATAAACAGCTTTGACTAAGATGTCCCTCATCCTACACTTACGTAACTCTTTTCTGAACCTTGAGGCAGAATTTTACAATCATCTTGTTCCAGTCAGGTATTAGCTCATAATCCCAGTCTACTGAGATCTACTTAAATCTTGATTTAAAACATTAGTCATTCCTTTCAGATTTATGTAATGTGTAAATTATAAGACATTGTTTCTAAGCAATCTGAACAAGATCCTATGACTCACCAATAATCCTTCCTTCAAACTAACAATCAACTCATAATCAGCTGACTTCACTGCTCTTAACCAATGACAAGTGTCATCATCATCCAACCCAAAGACTTTCTCATGTCTCAGATCCTCTGCTAAAATCATGTGAACAGTGCTATTATTCTGATGTATCTGGAAAGTCTACTCAGAAAGGAAATGAGATAAGTTTGAAACAATTTGTTCTTAGTAAACTCATTTTGACTCTAATAATCACCCCTTTATCTCAATGATTATAAACTGTCAACTGTCCTTTTAATTCCCAAGAGGTCACATACAACTGCCAGAGAGAAACAGAAAAAGAAAGTACTCCCACCCCAATGGGCTGTGGACATGCCTCGATCCCTTCTACATTTCTCTATTCTGTCGGGATTTAGGAGTAGGTACAGGGCACCAGGCATGTTTTTTCAGGCTGCTGGGGCTGAGATTCTTTTTTTTTTTTTTTAAGAATTATTTTATTTAACTTTATTTATTTGTTTGTTTGTTTAAATTTGGTCAGAGAGAGATAGAGTGAGAGAGCAAGTGAGAGAGAAAAAGAGAAAGTGAGAAAGCAAGCTGCCAGGTCTGGGACTCAAACTGCTATTGGCCATATGGGAGTCCAGCATCCTTGACCACCATGCCATCTGCCAGCCCTGGGGCTGAGATTCTAACTGTGTGGTTGGCCATGTGGGATCTGGCTCCCTTAACCACTAGCCCATGGGGCCAGTCCAGAACTGTCCTTTTAATAACTCATTCTAGAACTGTGTTTTTATGAACAAAGCCAAGCTTATAAGATTAAAAAAAAAATTCAATTATTTTCTTAACCTTAGCAATTGGGACATTTCATCTATTTCCTTTTAGAATCATTTTTTAATGAAAAAATTTAAATATACACAAAAATACAGAAAACTGTAATATTCCACCCATGTACCAATGACCAAGCTAAAATAACTATTAGCTTAAAGTCAATTTTATTTAGCTACTCCACATTTTTATTTCAAATGCCAGAATATTTTAAAGCAAAAAAACAGATCTTATCATTTTATTCTGCACTTCAGTTTGCATCTCTAACTGATCAGGATATTTGTAACAAAAAAATAAAAAAGAGAGAGAAACCATAATCACCACCATGCTGCCTTTATTTCACAAAATTAACTCCTTTCTATCATCTAATGACCTGTATTGGATTGGATATCTGTATATTTTAAAAGTTCCGCTAGAGACAGAAAGTGAGAAAGTACCCCCTGGGGGGATGGCCATGCTGCAATCCCCTCTCCATTCTCCTCTAGGGATCCTGGGCATGCATGCACACATGCCAGGTGTGAGTTTTAAGCTGCTGGGTCTACTGTGGACTACATGGGAGTCCAGTGATGTAACCATCATGCCATTGGCTGATCCCTCCCTGTTCTCCTGGTAATACTGAGATTGAACTGGATTCAGCCTGTGGCTCCTCGGATCCATCCAACCTTCCCTAATCCCAGGTCTCAAGTATTCCATGAAGAGACCTGGCACCCTCATCTCCTAACACCACTGCTTGTGACTGTCCAGGAGTGAAGATCACATTTCTGTGTCACTTCCATCACGCCCACTGCAGCAGCAAGAAAAGTAAACAGCACTCACACTCAGCCCAAAAGAAACAAAGAGGCTCTGGCTGCAGATTTATCCTTCCTTCTCACAACACACTGTTCTGAGGCACAGTGGTTCATACGGTGTCTCTAGAGACTGTCTGCATACATAACCAAGCGACCAGCTGTATTTCATGGGTCTGTGGTCAGCTTAGTGAACCTCCATTACACTGCTTCCACTCCTTGTCTGCTTCATTTCCCGTTCCCCTCACTCCTGCTACCTTGAGGTTGCACAATCTAATAACATGTATCACACAATTTGCAACCAACTGTTTTCCAGATATGCTTCTCAACATTAAAATGCAGACAATCATCTGAGGATAGTTTGATTCACTAATCTGGGTGACTTGAGTTGTCAGCACTGGCTGATGGGTGATGCCAATATGGCTGGTCTTCAACTCATGTCTTCTTATAGCAAAGTTCTAAAGAACTGGACCTTAAAAAAAATTAGTCACTAGATGTGAGGTCAGCATGATTATAAAGTTTCCCATCAGGGGCCCACAGCCAGCAGGTAGCATGGTGGTTAAGGCACTGGACCCCCTGACAAAGTTGACTGCGACTTGAGCCCTAGACCCAGTAGCTTAAAAATCATGCCAGGCACATAGGTACGCATGCCCAAAATCCCAAGAGAAGAATGGAGACGAGGGATTGCAGTGTGGCCATCACCCCTGGAAGATGATTTAGCACTTTTCCTGTCTCTCTCTGGTAAGTGCACATGCCCCATGGCAAAAACATGGGGGAAAAAAAAAAAAAAGCTCCCCATCACCGGTCCTCAACGGACCTTCTAATGGTTTCGGTATTTTGCCTCCTATTTTATGAGAGAGGAAGAGACGAAATGGAAAGCCAAAAGATAGGTATTTCTGACATGGTCTCACTGTGGTGTGATCTCTCTGCCCCAGCCTCCCAATTAGCTAAGAGTACAGCACATAAGGTTTCGTATCTTTTGATAATCATCTGCCTAGATTAGGGGCTCTGAAGTGGGGACTTTCCCATCACTTAGAAATCTGTTAAAATGAAAATTACTGGGCTCCACCCTTTATCTAATGAATCAGAAAACCTGGGGGGAAAGCCACAATCTGGGTTTTAACAAGATTTTCTGATGATCGTGATGCATGTCCAAGTCTGAGGACCACCGGCCTATGTCTATGATTTCTTTGGCATTACGAAATGGTGATTGTCTAATCCCATCATTCCATGTGCATTTATTGACTGGAATCCTATACAGAGCAGTTCTTCATGACCTATTTGGGTAATGTGAAAAATAATGTATACAGGAAAGGCAAGAAAATGCTCCATTCCTCCCCTTTGCATATCAATCTTCAAAATAACAAACCAGGACTCCATCACTCACCAACGCTGACCAATAAGGCTGGGTGGGGAGGAATATTTTTTGAGTATTTATGTACTCAACATGCTTTATCTTTTTTGTCATAATTGTTAATGCTCAAACTGTCCCATTGTAGGTTGATGGGATCCCCTTCAAGTCTTTTACAGCTTCCCTGCTTTCTGTCCCTAATTCAACTTGCACATTTTCTGTCCTAGGCCTAGAATTGACTGCTTCTCCAAGGAACTGGTTTCTTTTAGGAAGAACAGTATTTACAGATCACATCTGTGAGCAGAGATATTCACTGCTCCCATGCCTTTTCAGGGTTTTGTTGTTGTTGTTGAATATTTTTGCTATAGGGATGATGCACTCGCCAGAGAGAGACTAAGAGAGAAAGTGAGAAATCACCCCCAGGGGGGATGGCCACATCACAATCCTTTCTCCATTCTTCTCCTGGGATTTTGGGCATGCACGCATGACTCAGCATGATTTTCCAGCCACCAGGTCCAGGACTAAAACTGTGGTCAGCCATGTGGGAGTCCAGCACCTTAACCACCATGCCACCTGCTGTTCCCAACAATATCAATTTATAATTAATAATAAAACTATAGATGCATTTAACAATTTTGCAGGTCTTCATATGGTTATGCCACCAACCTGATATAAGGCTAGATTTATTTGTTTCAGTTTTTCATCTTGATTTAAATTTTTACTTAAAACAATTACATGGTCCAAACTCAAAAATGTATATACCAAAGTTCACTCACAGCTATGTCCTCTGCATCCTGTAACTCACTCTCCCACTAGGTAATCATTTTTACTAATTTTGATTTATCCTTCTATTTTTTTTTCTTTTTGGACAAAACATATCTACCAAGCTTATGTTCATATATTCATATCTCCTTCCTTTTTGATGCCTTTTTCATTCTCTGATTTCACAAAAATCACTGGCAGTGGTTTTTGGTTTTACACATTTCCAAGTTTTTCTCATTCTCTAAGACAACATATTCTAAAAGTTAAAAAACTCAATTACACTGGTGTCTACATTTTTCTCAGTATTGTTTCCCTCCATCTTTAAACAGGCTTAAGTTATTATCTGCAAATCTGAAGATTGTTTCCCTTGAGAAAGAAAATGAATTATTTCTATCTTCTATAATATACAACATTTCCTAAGAAACTAACATAGCTGTACTTTTTTCCTATGTTGTTCAAAATGTACCAACAATAAAAACAACTCAGAATACACTGAATGTGCCCAGTAATATCACTCGACGAAATACACCGTACCTTGGGAACACTGTGCTTTCTGTAAACTGTGGGGGGCCATTCACCATGTACAGTCCTTCTGATCCTCGGACTAAAGAAAGAAAATGGAGAGCACCTTGTTACTTCTAACAAAGACTCAGATATCACAAATGTTTCTAAAACACAAAAAATTTTCAGTCAAAACATTAATAAAACCATTAAACATTTCATTGATCTATATACCATTAGCAGTAAAAGGACATAATATCTTACCCTCTCAAATAAAGCCATAAAACCATCGACAAATAAATATGTAACTTTTATAAATAGAAACTGAAAACTTTAACTCTCCCCAGTGAGACAAAGGCGGTGCAGCGGCATGGGCATGAACTCAGAGGCAGCCCTGGGTTTGTAACTGGCTCTGGAACCCTGGATACATTACCATCTCTGAATCTGCGTCCTAATCTGTAAAACAGAGACACCAGAATACAGGACAGCTATTTGTTTGATATAAAATAATAATATGAACATTCCGTTTAAATTTAAAATTCTTGGAAATGTAAGGTGTTATCTATATATTTATAATTCCTCAAATTAAGAGAACTAATTAAATGAGACCTTCATTTACTAAGCCCTCAATTGTTAACATCCTAAACAATTAAGTGGGAATAAAGTTCAAGATTAAATAAGCAAATGAGGGAACCAGCTGTTAGTGTAATGACTATGTCGCTGGACTCCCACGTAGTCGACCACGGTTCACGTCCCGGACCTGGTGGCTTAAAACCCATGCAGAGCGCGTGTGCGTGCATGCCCAAGATCCTGAGAGGACAATGGAGGAGAAGGGATTGCGGTGTGGCCATCCCCTCTGGGGGGTGATGTCTCGCTTTCTGTCTCTCTCTGTCTGGAGAGCGCACGCACCCTATAGTGAAAAACCTCTCCAAAGAAAAGCAAATGAAACATCTGTAGAACTAGATTACATTAAAAAAATAATAATAATAACTAAATGCTTCTAAAGTTGACCCCAATAAATCGATTCATTCCTTACGGGAGCAGAGGAAGGGTAGGAAAGAAGGAAACTACCTCTCAGACCCTACACTGAACACTGGAGGAAAATCAGCCTTGTCTCTAACCTCAGTGAACTTAGAGGACAATAATCAAATAATCAGTCAAATACATGGAACTATATATCTGGGTTTAATGCTACCAAAGAAAAGATGTGGCACTAAGGAGTGTGTAATAGTTTCAACTTAAATAATGGCGGGGGGGGGGAAGGACA